TCAACTCCCAGAATTCCCCAACCAGCCATGCTGGCTGGGAAATTCTGGGAGTTGAAGTCCACCCATCTTAAAGTTGCTGAGATTGAAGAACCCTGCCACAGGACATGTAATCCCAAACTTCCCAAAAATCCACCCACCCATATATTAAATTTCTCCATGGATCAGGGCCTGGTTATCTCCAAGACCATCAACTCCAAAATGAATCTGCTTATCTAGAAAGATCTAGGAGAGAGGCCCAGCTGAGCATCCTGTCTCCAAGACTTCCACTGGCAGACTCTGTAGCAGGGGTTTATCAATGAAAGAGTTTGTCCTCAAATATAAGAACTGTCTCCTTGCTAGTGAGTTTCGGTAAAGAAGTAAAAACCTAACTTGGAGAGAGCATTTAGGCAATGCTGGATTTAGGTATCTATCCCAGTTTGTCGGTGCCACCATTGTTTATTATTGTCATGTTGGTTTTTTTGTGTACTCTGCTATGAGCCATTGGGAATAAAATGGCACAAAAATGTTAGAAATAAATAAATAATAGTGGGAATAGCCAAATGGTAACAAGCAGGCTGCATTTATCACCATCTTTGTTCCAATTAAGACATGGTTCTCCTTAGTAAACCAACCCAATAAGATCAAAATTAAAATCCTAATCAATGTTTGGTCAAGGGCAGAGATGTTTATATATTCAATTATTTGGACCTGCTGAAATTAGTATTTAATCATTTTAGTGCTTTTATACCCTCCCTAAAATCTAAATAACCTCATAGAAATAAACACTTTGGGAGTCTTATATCTAAAATTACGTGCAAGCATTCTAACTAAAATGAACTCAAATGAAACATTTAATTTGTTTAAATGTAACATTTAAATATTTTAATCACACTACGAACAATTTACTGATTCTTAGACGATCCCCCAATATTTTCAGTTCAGCTAACTTTGGCTAGAAACCAGGAGGCCATGAGTTCTAGTCCTGCCTTAGGCACCAAACTAGTCCAGGCAGTCATCAGGAGTCATGAGTGACTTGAAGGCACCACCCAAAAATAAAAATAAAAATTCTATTAATCTAGGGCAATGGCAATTCTTTTTTAATTCAACATTTTCCGGAAACCTATTTCATTTCCTGCCAGAACTTGAAAAATGGAGAGCTAATGATAGGCAAACATCCAGAGTGCAAAGCAATCCACAGCTTGTTGGTTCCAACATCCTTTGTAATCCCCGGAGCACCTGCTGATAGTGCCTCTAAAACCTGACAGTTTCCCACAAAGTATTTGCAGCGTACTTTTCTGCTCTTTTTAGACTGGAACAAGGACAAACATTATCACTTAAACCTTAATTACAATCATGTTTTTAAAAATCCAAGACCCAAAGAACAGAAATGGAAGATCTCAGCTCATCCACTGTAGCCCTCGGTACCCAAGCAAACTAAAAGTAGAAAATAAATAACTTATTGAATCCCATTTAGGAGCTGCTAAAGCTATTATTTCAGCATACGCTCTGGTGATCACCTTCTTCTACAGCAGAAGCTTTCAAGTTGTCTTGAGTAGCAGTTCTACTTAAGGCAGTTGCTTATGATAAAGGTTCCACTAAAACCTTGTAGGATGTACCATGCAGGTAGATGGAGAGTATTTTCACTCTAGAAGATTTCATTGAACAGTGAAAATAGAGAACACCCTCCACTTAATTCCTCCCCTCTCAGGATCTTTGTCGCCAGTGGACACAATCACCACAGAAGACATCAGTGCACAGTACAACAATTGCATATGTTTATGGAATCAAAGCTTGAACACAGTTGTCCCTTTAGTACCTTTCTCAATTCTAGCACAACTCATTAGAAGTACATGTTGCTGATCAACTAGTGGAAGCAGAGAGGTTGTCCAAATTAGTAAACAGATACCAAATATTGTCTTGGGTTTTTTTTTATTCCAGAAATATTTTCCACTATGGAAAAGATAGCAGGGAAAGTATCAGGGGAAAAAACAATACAACACAAAAATTGCAAGGTATAGAACAGAGAAGTTCTATTCTACTCTACATGCATGCCCTCACACACTTTACACACTTCTGCCAGCTTACAAACAGGGCTTCTGATTTACAAGCTAAAAGTGCTGGACTCTCACCAGCTGGTTTTCAGCAAACGTCTCATGGAATATATGTTACTATTTTATAAGACAATTTAGGGAGGGGTTCTAGTTGTTCTTGGGTAGTTCTTGTCCTGACTCTTGGTACTTTTATCCATCAGTCATATTTTGACCTTCTCCTGGTCTTTAGTACATTATTGCTTTAGTCTACCATACCAGCCTACCCTACCATTGCTTTAGTCCATCTTACCACCTTGGTGCAACTGAGGCAGGCTGAAGCCCAATTAGGCGGTCCAGGTTCTCTTCTATGGAGACATTCTCTACAGCATGGAGAAGGAGTCTGAGGGAGGTCAGCCTCACTGGCAACTAACTTTCTTTTCCCAGGTTCAGGGGAATATTGACTAAGATTCTAAAGCCACCATGGGTGGAATTTTCTCTGTCTTTGCCTGTGATTATGCTACTCTCTCTATATATATTCTGTCATATTTTGCCCATTGAAGCCATTGGCCAAATCCCCCAACTCCTAAAATAAATACAGTGATACCTCGGGATACGAACGCCTCTGCTTGCGAATTTTTCGGGTTACGACCAGCTCCGGCCCCAAAAATTTACCTCGGTTTGCGAACTCCGTCTCGGGGTACGAACCAGATCGGCGGCCATTTTCCCCCATGACACGTGGTCCGTGGCCATTTTCCGCCCGTGCCACGTGGTCCGTGGCCATTTTCTGCCCGTGCCA